GAAGGGAAGGGAAGGGAAGGGAAGGGAAGGGAAGGGAAGGGAAGGGACAACTGGGGATTGGGGAGGCAAGGGAGCATGGCTTTAATAACACTTGGCTTTTGCTCTCCAGGTTGTGTATCATTACTGTCATCAGGCTGCTACATTCAAGTTGTATTCCATGTTGACGGTCTTATAAATATTGAAGTAAAGAGACTGAAAGGTTTTCTTCATGCAAATGAGGTAGGATGACATGAGTGCTGAGAGGTTTAATGTTACAGGGAGAGGGCCATCTGCCTTGTGTTTGGCAATAGTTTGGACAAAATAAGACCTATCTCCACACATTATTTTATTTTATTTTATTTTATTTTATTTTATTTTATTTCATTTCATTTCATTTCATTTCATTTTAATCTTACTTTATCATAATTTTAAATATTTTTTTAAAAATCATTATTATTTTAATTTTTTTTTTTAATGTCTGAGAGACTGGTCGTTTTTTGGCATAGAAAATCTTCCCTGTATAGCTAGATGAAACAGTGGGAAGCTCGCAGCCATTCTGGGTCAATTTAGACAATCCACCCAGACCCTTAGGTTCTAATGTTAATCCCTTGCTCATGACAACACCATTTGGTTCAAGGTGCTTTGCTGCCCTGAGTGAATCTRTCAAGTGCAGGAGAGCTGAAGCAGCACAATCCTACAAGATCTATCTCCTTCCTTACATGATCCTGCCCAAAGCACAGTTCTCTCTCCTCCCTTAGTGTACTGAAATCACACCATATCTGCCCAAATCAACTGTGCACTTTTGCTGCTGGAAAATACTGGAAACTAAGTTTAAGACAAATCCAACTTATTTGTGCTCCTGGCCTTTTCTGCCTGTGATCCTACATTAACATTTCTTGATGAATGATCATCTAGCTAATGGGAATATTCCTGTGATGTCAGAGTATCTAAGTTCCCTACCTCACTTAAATTTATCCATGTAATGCCTATGTCTGATGTCCTAAGATGATTCCTTCTTGTCTAGGCAGATGCTGGCTATTAGATGAGATAATGTGAGAATAAAGCACTTGGATATCCAGAAAGGATTATACATCAGATGTTGTGATGTAACCTTCTTTGCAAGACTTTCCAAGCGAAGAACACACAAGGTAAATCCTCCAGTTCTAAATCAAACAACTTCACACTGAACTTGACATCCTCTGTCGTACCCTCCTCCTCCTTCCCACATTCCTCTGCTGTTGCAGCCTTCTCTGGATGCTAGCTGTGATGCTGGGAGCACAGCTGACATTTCAGGGAAGCTCTGTGCTGCCTTTGATCAGTGCCACATTCAGCACGCTGTGAGCACCTCTGCACATGTTGCAGAGAATTGCTCTCCCTGTGCCCCGCCTGTTGACATGAGTCACATCCGGGYTTGGTGTAGCAAAGTCTGAAAGTCATAGATTATGGGAAACCTATAAAGAAAATGAAACCTGAATGAGATTCTTAACCAAAGSGGAAGTAAAAAGTGATCTTTAGAAATGTGGTTTGAACTGGAGCCCAGGAGTTGCACGTTCATTCTGCAATTTGRCTGCAGACTTCCTGTTTGCTTTAAGGTGGAAAATGTAAACTATATAAAAATATATAAATAATATATATATAAAAGCTATATAGAAATATAAACTGAGCACTAGGCTTGCTCAGTCCTGCAGGAAAGAACAGGGTTTTACACAGTAATCCATCTTCAGGGACCACATTATGGGGTCAGAACTTAACATTAGTCAGCATCAGGAGGTTTAGCAGGCAGGTGTGACATCTTCCTTCTGTTACACATGTTTAGCACCCGTTCTTATTCCAGAAGCAGATTGCTTCTTCAGGATTTTATCAGCATGATTTTCAACTCAAATCTCAATATTGCTTGGCATCTGGAATTTTTTTTTTTTTTGGGGGGGAGCATAACATGGAACAATTCATTCTTGCATATCAGTTTGTGAACTGTTAAAAAGTAGAGATTGCCTCTGCTTGTGTGTCCCAAGCTAAATTTGGTGACTGAAACCCTGGTATTGGGAGGATATACAGAAGTTGATGTAATAAAAAAAAAAACCCAAACATAGATACTTGAACAGAACCTAGGTCACCCCTACAGAAAGATTATTGCTTTCAGCACTAGGTATCTTCTATCACTGGGATTTTTCATCTAGCAAGAACATTGCAGATAAAATGGAGCATGGAGCCCACATGAAGAGATCTCCATTGTTAGGGTTAGCTCAGGTCTTTGACATAGAATTCTCCAAACATTGCTCAAATGAGAACCAGTCCATGCTTTGAGCAAAATGGTAGAAAAGTTCATGGTGCAGATGATGTTTGGCAGGATTTGTTCTTGTCATTACAACATAACTGCACTGGTTCAGCTCACAGCAGAAATAACAGCTGYCTTCAGCATCCACAAGCTGGTTGGTCCTGGTCCAACAAACTGAGAAAGATGTTTGTTGAAAGATTAAAAGAATCTGGTTCTGTTCCTCCTTTTGTTACCCTTTGAAAATTGCTCCGTTTCCCTCTGCCTTTAATTCAGCTGTAAAATGAGATCATATTTACTGGTCTGTGTAGAACACGTGAGATTTGCAAAGGAAAAGAACATTTATAAATTACATATATTTATTTTACCAAGTACACAAMAGTAAGGGTAAGAGATAAAAGCTTCTGAGGCAGCAGACACACAGTTCTTACATCTGTAAAACAACCTTAAGTAGCACAGTAATTTGCTCAGTACTCTTTCATGGTAATGAGCTTTTCTATCAGAAGGATGTCTCGTGTTGTTTCAACCATCTTCTTGGAATTGGTATTGCCATTTTCCAAACTGAGCACCTGGAATAATCTCTGCAGCAGGCCGAAGTACTACTGTGAACTAAAAACTACAGGGCTGGCTTCTGCCATCAGCAAACACAAACCTCCCATCTAGAAGGATGCTAGATCTCTTCCATTTGTATTCGAATCATTTCACAATGGGATGTGATCAGCTGCTGTTCCTGCTGTATGCGGAGATCTCTCTCTCTCTTCCGTTTCCCCAAAAGCAAGCAAAATCATKACTTCCCAGAAGAGCTGTAGGAACTATGATTCATTTCATGCAATGTCCCCATCAGCTGGTTATGCAGCTCTGTCAACATGCAACTATTAAATAATTGAATCTCAAAAACTAAGGAGACTGGCTTCAAATTGCATGTAAGACCATGTAGATACAGTTACTTTCCTGTCTTTTATATTTAGGAACTTTGCAAGCAAATTTCAGTTTCTTTGCATGCAGGATAGGTTTTTATTTCATATTTTTACGTCCAGAGGTTTAGTTGCCCAGAGAAGAAACCTGAGAGTGTTGTGCTTTCACTTGACCCTGAGACCTGGCACCTTAAGTGGCTTCTGCTGCCGAAAACAGCTACCTGTCCATGGTGAGCAAAGTGTTCCAGAGAAAAATAAGTGAAGGAAGCAAATCACATTTATTACAGAATCAGTGGGGTCATTTTGTGATAGCATAATGTTAATATTATAAAATTAGTACTAAATGAGCATGGTATTACTTTCTAATCTAACTAATGTTCAGGAATTCTACAATGTAACCATTACATTTTGAAAGCAGGTGCAATTGTAATTGCCTATGTAACTGTAGTGTCCTAACAACAGCATGTGTTATTGTTGAATTTTAAAATTCCCTGCGGTTTAGAATGGCACTTATTGTTGCAGATGGCAGGGAATTAGTTTTGAAAAGAATGGAAACAGGAATGTAAAGAAAAATGTCAAGATTTCTAAGAACTGCRTCAGGTTCCAACATGGCAACTTTGTGCAGGAGAGAACAGAAAAGCAGACACTGTTTTTATTTATTCAAGAAAAATGCCATGCTTTGRTCTCTCAGATGTGGGTTTAAAACTTTAGCTTCTTTCTCTGATTGCCACTGCTGGGGAGTGGGAAATGTTACCCACGACTTGGCTATAAAACAAAGTCGAAGAAATCCCCAGCTCAAGGAAAAAAAGTGTATTCAATGCTAACTTCCCAGATACCCCCAGCCAAAGTTCAGTTACTTTCTACTTACATTGTATGGGTTTTTCCAAGCTGGAGCTCTCTTTTTATGAAGTGGTTATCACTGGTAGTGGTTTCCACAGCTACTCTAACAGTTGCAGAAATAGCACCAGATGAAACTATGAATATCCACTCTGTTACCCTAAATTGAAACTGCATTTATTTAAAGCACAGAAAGCAATGAGTCATATGACATGAAACTATTGTAAGCAACATCAGTCAAGTAACACTAACAATGCACAGGAAAGTACATAATGAATATAAAATTGCAATGAGTTTTAAATTTTGACCCATTACATGAATCATTCGGTTTTCCCAGCGACACTAAGTAGCTGATCTGGTATGTAATCCAGAATGATGTGATTGCTGGTCACATACAGACTTGCACAGACTTGGAACTTCCTTGGCTTCAAGGGAGGCTATTTCACAAGTCTTACTCAAATCAGAACAAGTATCCTTAGGATTCACTATATATATGTTCATAAGACACCAGATAGGTTACTGATTTGTGGCAGGTTCTGCCTGGTTTGTTGCAATAAACCAGACTGC